TGTGGAAACAGAACACTGCACTGCTGTTTTGTCTAAGAGTGAACAACCCCTTATGGGTGATAAATCATCATAGGATTAAGAGCTATATGACTGACATGTGTGAAGAGTCTAGTCCTCTGAATCACAACCCCTGCAATGGAAAGACACACAAACTAACCCTTCAATAGACAGCAGACACATCCATTACTGGCATTAGCGATAGCTCAGGACTAAGGAATAGAGATCAGTCTCTTCCAGCAGTGCCCTTGGAAGCCTTTTACTTTTTCCTCAGCACCGTGATGAAGATCAATGCTAGGACTCAGACAGAGCACAGGTGCTTGTCTCACAGATATTGAGTTCTCAGTATCATCTCTGACCGCAAACGCTCTGAAGGCGGTCTCAGAAAAGCCACCATCAAAAGAAACTGCAGTCTGGCCTCTCCATCTTTCTTAAGCTTGAAGTCCTTGCAAATTTAGCTCTGAACTCTAATCTAAGACTCACCCAAGCACTTCAAACTAGAATGCAGGTTGCTCGCAGGCATGGGCTTAAAGTATGACAGGCATGGTTTGAAGCCCAGAGACCAAAGCATTGCTTGGTACCACTAACGGGACCCCAAATTTGGGGAACCGAGAGTAAATTAACTCAAATACTAACTAAACCTAATAACTATAGAAACGTACAATTATAAAGAAGAAAAACAGCTGAGAGCACTTGCTAAAGCAAGTCCAACAGATTAAAACTACCATCAGAGGCAGTAGGAAGGAACTGTAGGGGTTCCTCCCTGAATGCAATGGCCTACTGCAGCACAAGGCATACAAGGTGCCATTCTGGATGCCATGGAGGGGGGAAAAAAAACAATAACTGTTCCTGGTGACAAGTATCAGAGGGGTAGGTGTGTTAATCTGAATCTGCAAGAACAATGAGAAGTCCTATGACACCTATTAGTCTATAAGGTCCCACAGGACTTCTTGTTGTTCTAACAACTGTTCCTGGCGTGCACCCCTTCCCCCCAAGAGTGGAATGCACTGGTGCAATCATTTATAGAAGAGTTCGATTTTCAAAGGCTACTTAATGCAGGAAACCAAAATCTTAAACCTTACTATTAAAAATAAAAAACCAACAACAAAAACATACATCATTACTCTAGTAAAGAAAAAATATGCAACAAAACTAAACATGCATATCCCGTATAGATACCTTGATGAAGGGAACGGAAGAGGGGGAATCTCGCTGTTAATTTTATCACAGTACCGCTCAAGAAAGGACCGGAGATGGGAGAAGGTACTTTCTTCAAGGTCTACACAATAGGGTCTGTGCCATGCAACAACTTGTCTGGAATCAAACATAAGAAATGCATGAAGTACACTGAAATAAATGAACATGTAAAACATGCAACTACCCACAAAATAAATTATCAATTACAATAAGTTAATATGGTTGTCATGTCAAGGACAGTATCATTGCATCCCATGGCAGCAGGGCCCCTGCTGAAATTGTCTGGTTTTTCTCACTTAATCCCCTACTACTGCAGGGACCTCAAGCATTGATGAAGCTCAGCAGGGCTCAGATTTCAGTTTCTGCTCCAGGCACTGGGGCTCAAGTTACAGGCTCCTCGTTGTGGCGGCAGGGTTCAGGCTTCTGCTTCTCCCCCCTCCCCCCGTCTCAGGCAGGCTCAGACTCAGGTTTTGTTCCCCCCTCTTGGGATTATGTAGTAATTGTTACTGTCAGAACAGAAAATCTTTAAAGCATTATAAGCACAATGATAGCAATACTGTGATGTACAATCTCGTACAGCGCAATGAAGAATTTGTGTACGTGTACACACACACACACACACACACACACACACACAAAATGTAATCTTTTACCTGTCCCTTGGAAGAGCTGTCCAGGCAAGGCTATGAGAAGTGCCAGCTGAAATCTGTTGAATTGCTATTCCATCTAAACCACTTACTTTCTTTGGTTTAGTAATGGGACCAGTGGAATTTCCCTGACCACACTGTCCCATGGAATTATTACCCCAAGCATAAACTTCATTATCTAAAGAGACAATCAAAGAAGGAAACAAAATTTGTGGTTCAGTGTCTTTTAATCAAAGAGTATAATAAATACCTATATATCATTTATTTTACCATGAGAAAGTGCCAAACAATGGCTGTCACCAATTGAAGTATCAACTATTCTTGTAGCAGCCAACTCTTCAATAAGCTTGGGTCTAAGAGCAGTAGCTTCTGAAGAACCACAGCCTAGGCATGCACCACAGCCCCACGCATATATCTAAAAACACAAACATACATATAAGTTTTCAAAGCATTTTTGGTATTTGTCAAGAGACAACAGAAGATCGTGTGTAACTTGTGCAATTATACCTGTAAATGCACATGCATGTTATATTTATGCACTCTATACAAATCGGGGCTCAATCTATCCATTTATATGTGCATTCTCTAAATTTTCCTCGATTATCTTATTATATTACACATTAAGCTACAGAAAATTTGGCCTAACAATACTAGAGTGACCTAAACAAATTGGAGGATTGGGCCAAAAGAAACCTCATGAGGTTTAACAAGAACAAGTGTAACATGACAGAATTTGTAAGAAACTCAAGTTACTTTCTCTCCCGCTTACAAACAAACCAAAATAAATAGCACGTAATTGCAATTCTTGTAGTAAGTAACTGGGATAGAGGGAGATTTTAGTAAGGGTCTTTGACAAATATGGCTGTTGAAATTTAGCAAACAATGCAACAATCACTATTTAGCCAAAATGTATGTATAAGCATTAAAAAATGTTTTTGTTTGGCCACAGACCCTTGAGGCCACAGACTTTTTCTTTACTATCTGACATGGAAAGTAATGGCTGCTGAATCCTGGGCCCAGGTGTACATATGGCATTAAGTAAACAACGTATTCTAATCTACTACTCTATATGCTACAATGTTCATTAAGACTATGAAGTATTCTATAGAATAGTTCCAATTTTCTGTAGTACCCTTTGAAAGAATCCTGACAATACTGGGCCTTTAGTGTTTTGCATTTATAATATACAAATTTACATACATCATATACATACACAGGTCTTGACAAACGGCGGCAAAACCTACTCGCCAGCCCCGCACTGCGCATGTGCAAGACCCGCATTGCTCATGGGTACGCCGCCAGTGAACGGGGCGACCGGCTGAAATCTACTCGCCATAGGCGAGGAGATTCAGTGATTTGTCAAGCCCTGTACATACAGACAGAAATTATAAATTGTAGTTCTACTCTGTAAAGGTAAACATTCTTTTTCCGTGTTTATTATAAACTTAGAATTTTTTCCCTATACACTGAAGATGTTATGTGGCACTTAATATATTACTACAACTATAGTACTCTGAGGTATTTGATGCCACCCTTGAATGGAAGCCAGGATGGATGGAAAGGAAGTAAGACTCCCTACAACACGGAAACAAACATTTCTGAATGACATCAAGCACCTCAATATGAAATGGGAAGATTTGAAGAGAAGGGCTGTTGACAGGCAAGGATGGCAAATGTAGGTAACCTGATGTGCAGCAAAGCACTGGATGGACTAAAGTCCAAGGTATTAGTACACTAAGGTAATAGTATACAGTTGTCAAACATAAGTTACCATATTAGTCAGTGTTTGTACCACTTTTGATGTTAAGGAAGGCTGACAGCACTAGATGAGTTACTGTCAGATAGAGCTGTGCATGGATGCAACATTTGTATATGCATCTGAATCCACAAAAATGAACCACAAATACCCGGATCCACATCCATGGATGCAGATAACCCACAGCTATAAATTGGCTATGTGCAGATTTTCAGGGCTCTACAGATAGTTTCTAGATAATGTTAATAAAGATGTGACCTCATTAAAATCATGCTCTTTTGTGTCTTTTGTTCCTGATATCTTTGGGGCAAAAATAAAATAAAATTTTACATACCTATTGTGTAACATTTAAGACGGTTTTGGGTTTTAAATTGGCTTAATGTAAATACCTTTTCATAATTTTAATCAAAATAACCATACAATTGAAATAGTCTCAGGCATTTCTTCAATAGCAAAACTCTTGTTCAGGTAAAAATATCTTTTTGCCTACCTGTCCTGTTGAAGTCAAGGCAAGTGAAGATTGGCTCCCAGCACATACTTTGCGAATAAACATTCCTTGTAAAGCTTCTATAACTTTAGGTTTATATACTCTATTGGTATCACCATGGCCAAGTTTGCCTATCAGACAGACACATAAGTTAATATTAGACATAAGTAAACCACAGTTATGACAGTTATGAAGATTTAACTTCCCAATCAGAAGTGTTTTAGATTTCTATTTACCTAGTGTTTCCTTGTGGAAGTAAATTTTATTTTTAAATTAATTTTATTGCTTCTAAGTAAAGGAAGCATTGATGTTATAGTAGATATTTACTCAAAACATACCTAGCATACTAATTGATGTTTTTTCCACCAGTATGTTGTTTAGCACCTTATTTTGTGATTTATCATTTATTCAAATCCTCTTCAGTAATACAAATGCAACCCCTGGTTTGGGACACTCTGGTCCAGTAACATCTGTGGTTTTTCCAGTTGCCGGACTAGAAAGCCCTAGCACAGAGGTTGCCGGCAGCTGGGAGCAGAGCCAGCTAGCAGGGCAGTGGAGCCCACAGGACAACAGAGCCCGCAGTTGGCCAGGTTGGGAAGCTGGTGGAGCTGCCAGAGTCTGCAGGGAGGAGGGACTGTCAAGCTTGCAGCCAGCAGGGATAGAAAGAGCTCACAGCTGGCTGGGCCATGAACACCTGTAAAGCCACCTCTGGAGCTCCTGGGGTCAGTGGGGTTGGGAGGGCTGCAAGTGCCCATAGGACCATCTCCAGAGCTCCCATTGCCATGGAGCCACCAGAGCTCACAAGGTCATGGAGCTTGCAGGGCTTCAGCAGACAGGGGGCCAGGGCAGCAGTGACAGGTTGCTGGGGAGAGGAGCCCAATGGAGAGGCTGGCACCCCCATCCCCAACCATCCCTGGGCCAAAAAACTCTTGTCTAGGACTTGTCAGATTCCAAGGGAGCCAGTCCAACCTGTGGGAGGGCAGAAGGTTTCAATTTAAAAGTTGACCTGACTAGCTTCTCTGAATTTTTCTAAAAGCCTTCAAATATTAGTGTCCATTTTTAAGCCCTTCACATAATTTTAAGGTTTTCTGTCTTTTATTCTTCCCTGAAATTTGTCGTCTGGATTCAGCCCTTTGCTCTCAGCAGTTTATGTAACATTTTCTGTGAAAGAACAGTTGTCACAGGATGTATAAACCCTACGTAACCACCACCAGGCGGATTTGAACCTGGGACCTCTAGAGCTCAGTATAGGAGCCTCTACCCTTTGAGCTAAAAGCCAGCTGCCTCTCAGGCCATGCTGTAGAGGTCTCTTATTCTTATCAGTTGCTGAGGCCTAGATGCTGCCGCATGAGATAGTGAACCACACTAGGTGTGTGGGTTACACCTGCACTAAACGTGAAAGAGTTAAAAAGCAACACCAGGCCTAAACAACCCAGGCCAGTTGTACCTGCAGGACATGCTTCAGATGAAGGAGGAAGTTTAAAAGGAAGTCCGAGTTCACAATAGCGCGGAGTAGGCTGGGAGAAAGATCTGCCTTGGGAGTTTTACAAAGGGGTGCTACAGCAGCCTTAATCTAGAGAAAAGAAGCCTAACAGGTGTGCCTGGATATATCTTTATTACCAGTCCACCACAGGCTGCAAAAAAAAAAAACAACAACTATAGAGCAGGTGGTAAAGCAGTGGGCCAAGAAAGGCAGCCTTAAGGTGCTGGACCCTTCCTAAGACTTACTGGAGCCTAGTCAACTGGTAAGATCCAGGTTCTCCTACCTATCCCCACCTCATTAAGGAGGGTACGAGCCTCTAATCAGCACCAAACAATCAAAGCAATATAAAAACTCCATGGATGAGTATTAATCAATACAGGTGGCTGAACATTTGATAGAACAGTTTTCCATCAAAATATGCAATTTCACCAAAATAAAAAATGTTTTGTGAAACATGTTCACATTGACGTTCCACATGAAAGACAAAAATCTTCCATTTCAACAGCCTCACATTTCCATTCATTTTGTTTTGTCTTGTATAAAAATACTGATGATTATACGTGCCGATGACATATTTAATATACTTAAAAACAAAATTAAACGTTTCAATGGTCTTGCTTTAAAATTCAGGACATTTTCTATTTCACTGGATGTTTTAGGCTTTTATTCCAATTTGGAACTATTCCCTTTTGAGCCCCCACAATAAAGTCAGAATTACCTGTGGAATGAAATTTTTAGTTTCCCTCTAGAACCAGGGTTGCTACTGCCATAGCCAACTAGCCACACTCAACTAGCCAAATAGCCACACGTTGTTAGTGGCTAGTGTGCTGGACACCAGGACTCTAGAACTATTAACCACTGGACTGCAATCTGAGCTGCTCTTGGTCTGATTTTTTCACCTTCCACATACATACTGCACTAGGAGGTGGCAAGGTAACTACTTCAATCTTAAATTCAGCTGCTCAAATCAAGACAATGAGAAAGTAAGAATATGGCATTGAGAGGAATCCTATTACAGGTCAAACTTCCCTGGTCTAGTACCCACAGGACCTGAGCGGTCCCAAAGGAGGGAGTTTGCCAGACTAGAGGAGGGCTGTACCCAGGCTCTCTTTCTGGTCGCTGGCCCAGCCAATGCCCTTCCCCAGCCCATTGGTGGCGCTCCACTCTGGGCTAGAGCTCCAGCCCAGCCAGTGGCAGCTCCACATCCCCAGGTGCTAGGGCTCCCTGTCCCCAGCTGGTGGCAGCAGTTCTGCACCCCTAGCCACAAGGGTTTTCTGCTCCCAGCTGGAGGTGGCTATGTACCCCCAGCCGCAGGGGCTCACCTCCTGGTCACCTGGGCTCCCTGCTCCCAGCCAGCAGAGTTCCATCCTTGCTGTCTGGGCTCTTTAGCCCCGGCCAGCAGCGGCTTCAGGGCCAACGAGTCTCACCTCCTGGTTGGCGGGGCTCCTTGCCCAGCCCTGTTCTGACTGCTAGCCAGGCCCTCTACCCTCAGGCCATTGCCTCTGCAGGCTGCTTGCTGTCAGACCAGCTGAGCTCCCAGCCACTGGCAACATCTATGGTTAGGGCTCTCTGTTTCAGGAACATCCATTTTGCTGTCCAGAGAATCCCAGACCAGAGGCTTAACCTGCAGAATTTCTGGCAGTTTAGTCCGGAGATGGCAAGATCTAACCCCCATTTTGGCTTTTCCCGAAACAGGTGATAACAGCAACTATTCAATCAAAAAAAGTTAAAAGTTCTGACAAAAACAAATAAAAAAAAGTAGAACTTCACGGTCCAGGAGAAAAGTGAATAAACTTGAAAAAAACTTTACATTTAAATTTTTTATTCTACACATCTGCAGGCAGGATACATTTTTATTCCATTTAATATGTCTAATGTTCTACTATTAAAACATTCTTATATTTGTGTATTGACTTCACATCATTTTTGGTGTAAGAATTAACAAATAAAACAAGAGAAGTCACAGTACATGGACTATATTATGGCTGGAATAATATGGAATGGTAATTAAGCAAACAGCAATCATTTATATAGGCTGTAAACACAAAGGATACTTGTATTGAAGAATGTTACACTATCTGCGCCATTTAGGAGATTAAGAAAATATTGGATTTTAAGCCCATACCGAAGACTGTGAAACACATCTTAGTTTCCCTTGATCTTCTAAAAAAAAGTTACTCCACCTACAAAAGAGACTAGATTCCAACCTCTCATACACAGCTGAACTGACATGTACAGCAATATTAATACTTGAAAAAAACAGATAATTTAATTCTGACATGTTTCAGAAACAATGGTGAATCTCAGTTATTTATATACTTTAAAAATGTGCATCTGTCTGTGAATCCATTTGTTCAAGAACAGTAAGAGTTAGGGCTACTAAATTTGAAACGAAGTATCCTTTTATCCTAACTTAGAGCAATGTGTGCTTTGGTTGTACATTACTAGGAAAACAGGAAATGCTGGGAATGGGACTGTTTCCCAAAAGATGGAATGGGAGAGGCTGTTCAGAGGTACGCGATACTCACAGTGACCACTAGGATCAATGAGCACAGAGGAAAGCTACACTGCAGAGTGACCAATGGGGGGGCAGCCACACCATCAAGAGAGGCCAGCAGGGGTTGGGGCTCCTCATCTTGCCTGCCACAGGACGTGGTAAGTAGCCTCCCTTCCCCAAACCCTTTTCCTCCTCTGCCCTTGGCTGCATGCAGATCCAGAGCAAGGGAGGGAGGGAGAGACATTCCACCCCGGGAGGAAAGAGGGCAAAAGCTCTTGCTGGCCCTCAGGGACAAGCCAGTGAGCAGGCTGGCTCCTGGAAAAGCTGGAGGGTGGGGGGTGCCTCTCCCCAGGATAAAGCTACCAAATGGGGTACACATCTCCACTGCCCTGGGCCACGCCCAGGGAGAAGCCAGTGGCAACCCCACCCCCTGCTGTGAGTCCCTCTTGCTCTGATTCCTGCACCCTCACTCCCTGCTCTGAGCCCCTTCCCACCCCCACCCACCTTCAATCTTCACTCATGCATCCTCCACATTCCCAGGGGCAAAAGAGAGGGGTCTGGCAGGGAGGGACAGTTCTACTGGAAAATTACCACCGGGGGCAGGGGTGGCAGGAGAGAGAGAAAGAAACAACTATGTATTATTTACTTCAGAGAGTTTAGCTGTCTGTATGTATCCCTCCTCTCAGCTGTGCCTGTTGCAGCTGCAGCAGTCACGGATAGATGCTTCCAACCTGGCCCCACACTGCTGCCGTGAGAGAGGACTGGGGTTGACCTTTATCGCTGGGGCAGCCTATATATTAAACCCCACATCTCCAGCCCCAGCCCAGAACAATGATTTAAATGAAGAAAAACAAAACTTACTTTAGTTCAGGACCCAAGCAACACCAGGTAAATATTCTAGTTTGACATTTCTCTATACAAGATCATACAGCAATCAGGACTATGACTTGAGACCCAGCCCTGTGTTGTAATCAGTGTACAATACTATGTCAGTAAGATCAGATAAAATCATGAAGACCTTTTAGGGTACGTCTACCCAGCAACATTATTTCGAAATAACTTAGTCCACATCTACACAGCAGGCAGTTATTTTGACATAATATCAAAATACGGTCAAGCTGGAGGACTTCTTATTCTGACTCCTGTAACCCTCAGTGTACAAGTAGTAAGTGAAGTTGGAGGAAGAGTACTCTCTTTCGAAATAAGTGCTGTGTAGACGCTCCCTATTTCGAAATAAGCTATTTTGAAAGAAGCTATGCAATTGACGTAGTTCAATTTGAGTAGCTCATTTTGAGTTAAGCCCTGCAATGTAGTTTTACAAGTCCCTAACACTAAAAGAAATTTAAAGGTTAAAAAAATAATCAATGCATACAAATATCATCTTTGTTTTTTAAAAATCCTCCAAGGACTTGCCTCAACTTACTATATGTACTTCAGTGTCCTCTTATATCCCTCAACAATTCTTTTGCTTAATTATCAGCTTCCTTTCTGTATCTTTACATCATTTCACAAGATATTTGCATCTACAAACAACTTTTTACTTCATCATCTCATTAATCCTCAGTTTTAGCTCCTTCATGAATAACAACTCAGTATATTTTAAGTGCAACAGATTTTTTTAAAAAATGTAGAAATATTTCTTCATATTTCAGATCATTTTAGGTTTTACATACCATTATCTCCTCCTCCAAATGACCATACGGTTCTTCCATCTTTGGATAGAGCTATTGTGTGTGAACTACCACAGGAAACCTCTCCAACATTGCTAATATCTTTTACCAATGTTGGAATGTTACGGCTGTTGCTGTCCCCATGACCTTGGAAAAACAAAAATAAATGTATTTTGATAAGTTTCTTTCCTCCTGTTTATGAATTCTAAGATCTATTTTTGCATTATAATTACAGTAGAACTTCGCCAATTCATGTTCTTGTAACTGACACAAAAGTTGTATGTTTCTGACCACTTCTCAGCAATGATTTAATAGAAAAGCTCTGGACTAAAGTCTCAAACTACCAACACTGCATTGTTTTTACAAAGTTTAATAAAGAATTTTAATAGTGTATTATGAAGCACTATAATTTAGGGAAATTTATTATTGGGTAGTAAGACATGTCTCATCAAAACTAAGTAGATGATGATAATGTACCCTTTTTAGTGGTAGGTTGAGATAAGTGACTTCTCCTAACGTGGTCTGTAAAAATCAGTACGTACAGGAAAGCATCACAAAAAGCCATTGAACAGAGAAGTTACCTAGAACAAGTAGCCTAAAATACCAATCTTTCAGTCAGAACAGCAAACCCAGGAATCTGTTCAGCCCACTTCAGATTAGAGATGTTAGCGTATAGTAATTTAAATGGTTAACCAATAAACCTGGTCTTATTGGTTAATACTAATGACTAAATGCACATACACCCCTTTGCTGCCTCTTTATTAGAGGCAGCAAGGGGGAAAGTGGAAGCTGGTGCCCACGGGAAGCTGGCTTTTAAGTCAGCTCCCCATGTGTTCCAGTTCCCACAGAGCTGCCTCCATTCCCTGCTGCTTCCCACAGAGGCAGCAACGTGGAGGGGCAGACAGGAGCTGGTGCTCAGGGGGAGCCAGCTATCTCAGGCAGCAGCATGGGGGTAGGGTGAGGAAGGCAGGGGCCGGTATGCACAGGGAGCCAGCTGCCACAGAGCTGCCCGCCCCCACACTGCCTCTTTATCAGAGGCAGTAGGGGGCGGGGTAAGGGTAGGTGGGAATTGGTGCTCATGGGGAGTCAGCTTAAAAGCCAGCTGCCCAAGAGCACTGGCTCCCACCTGCCCTCCTCCTCTGTGTGAACATGTAATTGCTAATAATTCTAGCGGTTACACGTTTACACAAAAAACACGATGGTTACCTGAATCTGAAATAGGGATGTTAACAAAAATTCAGAATTGTTTTTTAAAATTTTAAAAAAATAAGATTTTTTTTATTTTTAAAAAACAAACTACTAAATTTAAAATAGTTACAACTAAATCTCACGACAAACATGCTACACCTACATTTAAAGTCTCAAAAAAATTAATTAATGGCTTTAGCCTACTTATCCTAACTCTCGCTTCTTTTAAGTTCTGGGGTTTCTTTTTCTGTTTTTCAGTGTACTAACAATTAAAATGTACAAAGACAGACAAGCTGGATAGGATTATTGTTGTTCTGTGCTTACGTGGCCAAACACAGCGGAGGAGTTAGTTAAGACATTGTCTTAAGACAGACAGAAATATGTGGGAAAGGACAGAGGTACCATAGAAAAGAACTGTAAAGTGGACTGGAAATAAAAAGAATATGTGGGAAAGGACCATAGAAAAGAACTGTAAAGTGGACTGGAAATAAAAAGGGAAAACTTTCAGCACACACAGCTTTCCATGTTCCTCCACACTTTTGCCACAGAAAAACTGTCATGGCTTCTGGACACAAGAGACACTTTATCAGGGAATATTTTGAAGAAATTAGTTTCCTGGGTAAAAAAGAAAAATGTTTCAAATGTAAGCAGCGCAAGATGATGATGCAGGGCCTAGTTGCAAGAATGAAACATCATAAGGAAAACTGCTTATTGAGAGGAAATGATGTAGATGAAGATGCAAATATGGCTGAGTGGATCAATTGGTTAGCATGATTTGACAAGGAAATTCCCAACCTGTTTGCTGTACTGGATGTTGCTAGAAAAAAATATATGCACCTTAGCTAATCCTTATGGCTTGTTTAATTAACTAGGTTTAGAATCTATCACTGAAGTATACAAAACAGAAAGAAATAAAGAAAATAAGAGAAATCTAGACTATCCAGTTGCCACGGAGTATCATTTTTTAATTTTATACTACATAACACATGTTCCTTATTTTGAAACATCCTAGTGATGCCATAAGTCTATTTCCCAAAGCGTAACTCAACTTTTCCAAGGGAAACCCATTTCTCAAAAAATGGAAGCTCAATGGGGCTTACTCCAAAATTAAGCACACGCTAAGCACAAATAATAAGGAATCCGGTGGCACTTTAAAACTAGCAAATTAGTTAGGGCTTTAGGACATAAGCTTTCATGAGATACAACTCACTTCCTCAGATGCTGAAGAGAAAAGCAAAGAAAAAAAGAAAGGGATACACATATGGCGGTGAGACATCAGTGCTAATTAAACCAGAATGGATGTAGCTCCAACAGCACCTGAAGAGAAAAATTCCAGATTGTCTTTTGAGAACTATTAAAGGTTTCTATTTAAACCTTTTTTCAGGGTGTCAAATTTGCATATGAATTCCAGCTCAGCAGTTTCGCATATCTAGCTTTTTTTGGCAACTAAATTTAAAAGTTAATGATTTTTTTCCTTTGATGATTTAAATTGAAGAAAACAGAGCAATAAGACTGAACACAAGGCTGATTTTCTGAAATCTACCGATAAAAAGAACTAAGCCTCAGAGCAGCACCTACTGAAGACAAGAACAACTGAAATCTGGAATCCAATAAACCTTAAAATGTACCAACATCACTATGGGTACGTCTAGACTACATGCCTCTGGCGACAGAGGCATGTAGATTAGGCTACCGGACATAGTAAAATGAAGCGGCGATTTAAATAACCGCCATTTCATTTAAATTTACATGGCTGCCGCGCTGAGCCGACAAACAGCTGATCAGCTGTTTGTCGGCTCAGCGCGGCAGCCATGTAAATTTAAATGAAATGGCGGTTATTTAAATCGCCGCTTCATTTTACTATGTCCGGTAGCCTAATCTACATGCCTCTGTCGCCAGAGGCATGTAGTCTAGACGTACCCATAGTGATGTTGGTACATTTTAAGGTTTATTGGATTCCAGATTTCAGTTGTTCTTGTCTTCAGTAGGTGCTGCTCTGAGGCTTAGTTCTTTTTATCGGTAGATTTCAGAAAATCAGCCTTGTGTTCAGTCTTATTGCTCTGTTTTCTTCAATTTAAATCATCAAAGGAAAAAAATCATTAACTTTTAAATTTAGTTGCCAAAAAAAGCTAGATATGCGAAACTGCTGAGCTGGAATTCATATGCAAATTTGACACCCTGAAAAAAGGTTTAAATAGAAACCTTTAATAGTTCTCACAAGACAATCTGGAATTTTTCTCTTCAGGTGCTGTTGGAGCTACATCCATTCTGGTTTAATTAGCACTGATGTCTCACCGCCATATGTGTATCCCTATCTTTTTTTCTTTGCTTTTCTCTTCAGCATCTGAGGAAGTGAGTTGTATCTCATGAAAGCTTATGTCCTAAAGCCCTAACTAATTTGCTAGTTTTAAAGTGCCACCGGATTCCTTATTATTTGTGCTTAGCGTGTGCTTAATTTTGGAGTAAGCCCCATTGAGCTTCCATTTTTTGAGAAATGGGTTTCCCTTGGAAAAGTTGAGTTACGCTTTGGGAAATAGACTTATGGCATCACTAGGATGTTTCAAAATAAGGAACATGTGTTATGTAGTATAAAATTAAAAAATGATACTCCGTGGCAACTGGATAGTCTAGATTTCTCTTATTTTCTTTATTTCTTTCTGTTTTGTATACTTCAGTGATAGATTCTAAACCTAGTTAATTAAACAAGCCATAAGGATTAGCTAAGGTGCATATATTTTTTTCTAGCAACATCCAGTACAGCAAACAGGTTGGGAATTTCCTTGTCAAATCATGCTAACCAATTGATCCACTCAGCCATATTTGCATCTTCATCTACATCATTTCCTCTCAATAAGCAGTTTTCCTTATGATGTTTCATTCTTGCAACTAGGCCCTGCATCATCATCTTGCGCTGCTTACATTTGAAACATTTTTCTTTTTTACCCAGGAAACTAATTTCTTCAAAATATTCCCTGATAAAGTGTCTCTTGTGTCCAGAAGCCATGACAGTTTTTCTGTGGCAAAAGTGTGGAGGAACATGGAAAGCTGTGTGTGCTGAAAGTTTTCCCTTTTTATTTCCAGTCCACTTTACAGTTCTTTTCTATGGTACCTCTGTCCTTTCCCACATATTTCTGTCTGTCTTAAGACAATGTCTTAACTAACTCCTCCGCTGTGTTTGGCCACGTAAGCACAGAACAACAATAATCCTATCCAGCTTGTCTGTCTTTGTACATTTTAATTGTTAGTACACTGAAAAACAGAAAAAGAAACCCCAGAACTTAAAAGAAGCGAGAGTTAGGATAAGTAGGCTAAAGCCATTAATTAATTTTTTTGAGACTTTAAATGTAGGTGTAGCATGTTTGTCGTGAGATTTAGTTGTAACTATTTTAAATTTAGTAGTTTGTTTTTTAAAAATAAAAAAAATCTTATTTTTTTAAAATTTTAAAAAACAATTCTGAATTTTTGTTAACATCCCTATTTCAGATTCAGGTAACCATCGTGTTTTTTGTGTAAACGTGTAACCGCTAGAATTATTAGCAATTACATGTTCACACAGAGGAGGAGGGCAGGTGGGAGCCAGTGCTCTTGGGCAGCTGGCTTTTAAGCTGACTCCCCATGAGCACCAATTCCCACCTACCCTTACCCCGCCCCCTACTGCCTCTGATAAAGAGGCAGTGTGGGGGCGGGCAGCTCTGTGGCAGCTGGCTCCCTGTGCATACCGGCCCCTGCCTTCCTCACCCTACCCCCATGCTGCTGCCTGAGATAGCTGGCTCCCCCTGAGCACCAGCTCCTGTCTGCCCCTCCACGTTGCTGCCTCTGTGGGAAGCAGCAGGGAATGGAGGCAGCTCTGTGGGAACTGGAACACATGGGGAGCTGACTTAAAAGCCAGCTTCCCGTGGGCACCAGCTTCCACTTTCCCCCTTGCTGGCCC